TATGAGTATAGTATGTATGTTATTTTTTTCTTTTCTTGTGGAGCTGGGTCTCAAACCCATTTCTTTGCTTGTGCTAGGCAGACCCACTACCACAGTGGAGCTACACTCCTGGTCCAATTACATATGTTAATTTAACTAGAGCAATATTTATAGAATGTAGGATTATGTACTTTTATATTCCCTAAGATATCAATCAGTAGAGATATCTTAGAAAACTAAAAAGAAATGTTATCCTTTCCATATTATTTATGAGCCAACTTTAGTTAACAAGGAATAACCTAGAATTAAAATACATATGCCTGGGCTGGGGATTTGCTCAGTTGTCCCTCCTCACACGCGCAAGGACCTGAGTTTGATCCCCAGTACCAAAAAAAACAATGAAACAAAACAAAACAACAACAAAACATATACCCATGAAAAGTGAAACAATAATTCAATACCCAAAGTATTTTTTTCCAAAATACATTTTTAAAAAATTACAAGCTCAAATGGTACCATTAAGTATTTGTTGTATATTTCTGAAGTAATCCTTAAGTAAGATTTATTGAAAAATATTGTCAACCTATCTGGTAATAAAATATACCTATTTTAAAAATAGACTTTATTAAAGCTTGGCAAGGTGGCGCACGCCTGTAATCCCAGCACTCGGGAGGCTGAGGCAGGAGGATCTCTGTGAGTTCAAGACCAACCTGGGCTACATAGTGAGTTCCAGTTCAGTCTCAAATACATAGTGAGACCTTGTCTCAAAAAACCAAAAAAAAAAAAAAGACTTTATTTTTCTAATTGAAAAAATACTGAAGTCATATTGAGCTTGAGTGTATTTGCCTGGAATCTACCTTAAAATAATTTTTGATGGAAAAATAATGACATGATATAATAAGATAATACATTGTTTAGTTTAAAAACTGTCTGTAGTTGTAGCTCTTCTGCTAATTAGTTGCATGACTTGGGTTAAGTCAATGATCTTGTCTGAATTTTATTTCCATCTGTAAAATTGAGAAGTTTAAATAAAGTGGATTCTAAAGTTTCTTCTGGACTGAAAGTTTTATTATTTATTTGAGAATTTAAAAGACTACAGTGTTCATTAGGTTATTAATAATCTCAAAGAGATGTTGCCAGCACCAATGATGAAGGAGGAAGCAAGGGCTTACATCTCTAAATTCAGTGTAGATTTTTGAGAGCTTATAAAGGCCGCATGAGAAAGCCATAAGAATGACATAATACAATAGGAAACTGAAGCCGGTGGTAGATAAATAATTAGACAAAAGAATTTGTATTGTTTATTCAAGAGAAATTGAAATAGCCTAAGAACAGTTGTAAAAATTTTCCATTTATGCCACAAATATTTAGAGCTAACTATGGCAGGGTACTGTTATATCAAAGATGAGACAGATACCAGCTGAGTTAAGATTAAGCTCTAGCTAATGCTCTTTCTAAAAAGGAGCAATTGTCTGTTGGGCTCAAATGAATTGAATTAGGCAGGGTGCCTGAGTAGTTTCCTGCTGACATGACAATCCACTATGCTTTAAATGGTATAGTAAAGTCTTGCCTAATTACCATGTTTCCTAAGTATTCCTTTTTGTGCCCTCCCAAACCGAATTGTTATTTTCTTTTCTACTCTTGCTGGCTTTACCAAAAGGGTAGGAGATGATTTTGGATATGTGCTTCATTTTCTTCCCCCTTTACAGTAAGAGGGCAGGATGGCAGTGTGACAGAATGAGTAAGATTGAAAAGGAGTTCAGCCTCCCTTAAGGTAGCCTTTCTCCTTGTAGTGTCATTGTAAAGCTGCTAGTTTGCAGGACAGTCTTTTCAAGTATAATCATCAAAACATTGTACAGAGCCAACTGTGGGTTCTATGATGCCTCAATGAGGAATCAGTCTTCTGTTTATTGTAGTCTTCAAGCTCCTCAAGTAAGTACCAGGATTCTTTCCACAACCTTTCCCTTAATTCAGTGCAGCAGTGTCTAGTGCCCTGGTTAAGTTCAAACCATAGAAAGCATTTTAATGTGATCCATTGGTTTGACTTTTTTTTTTTTTGTCATTTCTTTCATTATTGGGCCAAATAAGAATTATTGTTTTTTAGTGTTTTTTCTATTGTATCTTTTTATAAAAGCAAAAAACAGTAATACCTTACATTTATTATTGGAAAAGCAAAAGTGCAGTATTTATATATACTCAGCTTTTTGTTACTGCTAACATAAGTAAGTCAGTCATTGATTTATAAACCTCATAGAACCAGGGTCTCAAAACATATTACTTGTAGTATTAAGTTAATCAAGTGTCCTATATATTAATTACATAATTTCTTTGACTTAATTAAATATATAGTATCTTAAATTTGAAACAATATGCTTCTCTAGTAAGACAGAAATTCACCCTAGTAGAGGGAACAGTTAAAAGATAAACCCACCAAGTATGGTTGACTTATGTAGTCTGGAAATGTTAGTAAATTATAAAGGTGTGAAATTATATAAGATCTGTGAGAAATTACAAAAGATGCTGGAAAAAATTAGATAAAAATCATCAGAAAATGCAAAAACTGTATAATACATAGTATGTAGGGAAATTGAGGGTGGAAAGCATCATCATAGATATAACATGACGTGGTAGATAGAAAACCAGAAGTTATTCAGTAATAGATCACAATGGTCACTATTTCATTGCAACTTTGAATTGTTAGACATTTCCTTAAAAGCATAATATAGTTGAAGCTTGTGTACCTGTCATGTAATTAATGACACCATTTGCTAGGGAGATAAAGATTAACTGACGAATACTCAGAGATGGGATGGAAAATTGATTATGACATAGGAAGAACTGATTCATGAGGAGAGAGAAAAATAATTAAATGGGCAATACTCTGCTATAAAAGAGCCACAGCACTCTTTTCTGTATATACTACAGTGTATGAAAAATACAGAACTGTAAGAATGTAAGGATGCTGAGAAATTGCTTATAGAACAAAACAATACCAACTGGAATTAATTAAACTAGGAGCAATATCAAAGATTAAATTTCAGAAATTTGTACCTAGTGCATAAGAAATGACCTTGAGTAGCATGAATTTATCTCTGGAACTTTAGAAGGATCTGTGGGCAAATAATAAAAAAATCATTTATTAAATTGTTGAAATAGCTTCCTAGAGAAATAATTGGGACCATTTCCTTTGAAACTTCTGTAGCTGGGGCAAGAAAAAAAAAATAAAAAAAAAGATTAGGATACCCACATGTGAGAATCCTCTCTACTTGTAGCAGACACCTGGTGATTGATGAGTTACGTTTTTTTTTTTTGCAACAACTTTGATTTTTGCTAATGTTACCATACATAGATTTTCTTTTCATTAGGTTGATATCCTTGATATCCTATTTAAGTAGGAGCCTCCCCTTTTGTGGTACCAGGGATTGAACTCAGGGCCCTGTGCTTGCAAGGCAGGCATGGTGCCCCTGAGCTAAATCCCCCACCCTGATATCCTATTTAAATAAAAAAGTCATCTTTTATAAAACATCTAAAATCACATTCACTCATTTTTCTTCCATAGTGCCTGCCACATTGATAACTAGGGGCATTCTCTCTTGTTTTTTTCATTTCACTCTATAATTAATTAAGAGGTGCACTTCATTGCATAGCAGAAGTGAATTAACTTCAATTGGAAGCTAAAAGATAAGCACAAAATGCACCTTGCCATTTAGAGCCATTCTTCAAATGGATGCAGAAACTCTGAAAGTTTGAAATCATTCAGTGCCTCAGACAACCTAGTGATTCTTTTTACCAGAAGAAAATCCAGATCGTTTTACCAAGGGTAATGATCTGAGGATACTGTATTTCCTTCTCCTTCCTCCTGTAGCCCAGGCACCATCTGAACAGGGAAGCTCAGAGCCCCAATTCCATGAGCTGGAAAGCAGGTAAAACACAAGAGGAATTATTTAATGTTCTGATTCATTGCTTTTTGCTGCTCTTTAAGATCCACTGTAGGAGTTCTAGTTGAATTAAGTATTGCTAAGAATAATTCATATAAAATATACTGGAAACGTTACACATTATTTTATGTTAGTGAGTGGGAACGTTTGCCAAACTTAAATATTGTCACATTAATTACTTCACTTATTCTATAAATGAATTGGTTTTTGATGGCATTTTAAAAATAATGTTTAGTTTTGTTATTTTTGACAGTGAACTTGCTTTAGTTTTAGTCAATTCTCTTTGCCTATAGCCAAAAGTTCTTATTTATTTTGTTCTTGAAAAAGATCTGGAAGGGAAAGTAAAAAGGGATTATATTCTGCTTTTGTCCATAATACAAAGGTAAACTCCTCTCTATTCTGTTTGTGAAAATGACCCTAACAAGTTGTCAGCATTTTATATGCACAGATAACAACTGTCTTCAAGGTGAAAACTGAAGAAAAAAATAAAATTGATAAGCCCTAATCTTACTTTTTCTCTTCGTGCTTCCTGACTGTTATACCTACAAAAGGAGCAGAAGAAAGTCATTTTTCTTTCTAAATCATTCTACTAGTGTCATACTGATTTTCTCCTAACCCTGTGGTCTCAGGTAATCACATATTTTCTTACTCGTGTGGACACAGCACACAGGTTGCTCCCAGACTGACATGTGTTATTCGAGCTGTGGTGGCGCTGTTCACCATTGACATTTCCTGGTAGGGTATAGTAAGCCTCTTATGCATGAAACATAAGCAAATGGGCTGTTCACGACAGTGTTGTCATGATTTGGAAAGCAATTCCTGTTTATTCTAAATATCATCAACCTCCGGTAGTGGTGCTTAACATTGCTCCTAATTTCTATAATGCAGTCTTGAGTTCTTTTGTGTGTCTGCTGATACAGGAAGAAAAAGAAAGTCCTTCTTTTAAGTCTCAAAATATTCTACTGCTATGGTGGTTTGTGGCAAAAATTGTATTAATTGTCTGAAAGAGTACATGGTGACCTGCCTGTATGCCATTGTGGTTGTTTTTCTTTTTTCCTCTCATCCCACTTCCCTCTGTTTCAGCTAGCTGTGAGGTGGTTGGAACGTAACTGCCATTACCAGTACATGGATGAGCTTCTGCAGTATATCCGCTTTGGCCTAATGGATGTGGATACTCTCCATACAGTTGCCCTGTCACATCCCCTGGTCCAGGCAAGTGAGACTGCAACAGCCCTTGTCAACGAGGCCCTGGAATACCACCAGAGCATCTATGCACAGCCTGTCTGGCAGACCTGCAGGACTAAACCACGCTTCCAGTCAGACACTCTGTATATCATTGGCGGGAAAAAGCGTGAGGTCTGTAAAGTCAAGGAACTTCGGTATTTTAATCCCGTTGACCAGGAGAATGCTCTCATAGCTGCCATTGCCAATTGGAGTGAGCTGGCTCCCATGCCAGTGGGAAGGAGCCATCACTGTGTGGCAGTCATGGGGGACTTCCTGTTTGTAGCAGGAGGGGAAGTGGAGCATGCCAGTGGCAGAACATGTGCTGTGAGGACTGCTTGCCGCTATGACCCCCGCAGTAACTCCTGGGCAGAGATTGCACCCATGAAAAACTGCCGGGAGCATTTTGTATTGGGTGCCATGGATGAATACCTCTATGCAGTTGGGGGCAGAAATGAACTACGGCAAGTTCTGCCTACAGTTGAGCGATACTGCCCCAAGAAGAATAAATGGACTTTTGTGCAGTCCTTTGACCGATCCCTTTCATGTCATGCTGGATATGTGGCTGATGGTCTTCTTTGGATATCAGGTAGAATGTACCTCATACGTTGGATTTATTAAAAGAAAAACTCACTGTGGCATAAATTTAAAGGTCAAGCTTTGGTAGTATTGTCGTGTATAATTGAACAATTGAGCCAACAGTGCCATTTTTAGCTAATAATCATTGTTTGAGCATATGCTCCATAGAGAACAGTATAATTGAAAGTATTGTTCTGTGACTTTCTGAGTGATTAGTGATATAAAAATTCAGGATGGAAGGTAATGACTCCTCACACCTGTTTTTCTTCTATTAGCTTTTGATTATTCAGGGGTTATATCACATGCTTTGTGGGTTTTCTGAGGTCCTTTTTCTTTTTCTTTTTTTTGGTACTGGGGATCGAACTCGAGTCCTTGTGCTTATGACTCAGGAGGTGGAATCACTGAACTAAATCCCCAGCCCCAGGGTCCTTTTTCTTTTACCCTTGGATCCCTGGCTAGGAGCCATTTCTTTGGAGATAATTCAGGAGAAATAAGAGCTCAGAAAATCTGTTTTGCTGGGTATAAAAGGGGGTATGTATCCAGGTATTAGCTATGCTGTGTCCCGAAGGAAGGAATTTAGATTACTAAAGCAAAGCGTTTGTATTATCTATAAATGATACTACTCATGCCATCCTAATTTTTCATTCCTATTTACTACCCCCTTTTTACTGATTATTTTGGGATATAGTTTGAGCTCTATTTTACTTTTTGTTGTTTCCATTTTAACCTTTTGCTGATAGAAAAAGCAGAGATGAATATACTGAACTCCACATTCCTATACCCAGCTTCAAACATTAACCATTTATTGCTAGTCCTGTTCTGCCTTACTTTCATATCCTCCCAAACCTCTCCTGGCTACAGTTTTGCATATACAGGAGTCTGTGAGGCATCTGCTATCAGTATCCCCAAAATGACCTGTGCTTTCAATCTTATTGTGGAGAAATACCTGAACTGCTGTCCTTTGAAAAGTTTGGCTATCAGGGAACAAAGTTGCATCTTCTTGCACAGGGAGAATAAATACCTATATTGTAACTCAGATCGAACTTGGATTTTTGGGTTATCAGGAAAAGGAGGAATAGGAAGATAAATAACTTAAATGTTATCGATAGCTGTGCTATTTGTACTTGGAAGAAATAATCAGTTTTAGGAGGTAGATGTTTCTCAGCTTTTCTCAATAATCATCTCGTTTTTTATGCCTGTTTTGACAGAATTCTCCCTTGCTTTACATTTGTTTGCACTCTGTTCACTTTTTCTTCTGCTGTCCTCATTAACTACAGAGACAGGGGTAGGCTCAGCTTCTCTGAGTGATGCATCAATTATTGGTAATCACTAATTTTCATTGTTGGAACCTGGAATTAAGTGCTCAATAAATTAATGAATGAAGTTAAGATAGTAAGGAAAAGGATAAATGAGAGTCAAATAATTATTGGTCCCATATACCAAATGAACATTAAAAATGAGTGTATATGATAGTGCATGTGGATATATTTAATAAAAACCTTATTTATCTGGTGACATTTTCCTTGTTCTTTAAATATGTATTTCAACAGTTAAGAAAACAACCACCAGGACTAACTCCTGTAAGTTTGGCTAAAAAAATTTCAAGCTGGTTACAAATAAGTATTTCGTAATAGAAGAAACATATTTGTACTTTCTTGGACAATAGAAAAACGATGGATTTATGAAATCAGTGCAATTTGCTTACTCCCAATTTAGATTCCTTCTATTGACTTATTTGATTTTATATTTTCTCATTATACTCTATTTATAATTTTGGCATTGTACTTCTTAAATTTTGTATGGCTTTCTCAATATTATGACAAATATTCCTTGTTTGGGACTGTAAAACTAGTTTTTAAAAAAAAAACTCGAGAGTTCCCCTTCCATAGTCTTAAAGATATGACGACTTAGTACTTTTTCAGTGAGTCCTAAGAAAGCACAGGAGCTCTTTTTAGACTGGCTAGATTGGTCATCCTGGTATCAAGTTGACTACCCTTTCAATATGGGTCTATATGTTTCCTTTTCCATTTTATTAAATCTATCAACATATTATATATCTTTTGCTATCCCACTTTGTCTCCTACTGTGAATAGAAATATATTTTCTTTGTTCTTCTTTTGCACTAATGTATGCAGCCTGTGTTAACCATACTTAATGAAAACAATATCAATTTTCTCAGGTTTGTTTCTCCCCACTGTGTACTTGAGATGAGAAACTCACTTTCCTGTGTACAGTACAATACCTGTAATTGGAGAGAAGAGGAAATCGCCAGTGACATTTGTAATACCTTCAGTCATCTGCCTTTTTCCTCAGGCCCAGCTTATAATAAATCAATTGTGAATCTAAACATTACTAGGGAGGGGTGGTCAGATTTGCTAATAGGTCCCTTTAAATAAAGCAGGTATATATCACCCTCCGTATTTCGGATTTAGAAATGTGTACCTGATTTATTGGAGCAGATGAACATGTTTGAAGCTGTTCTTATCTTTGACCAAATAATCAAATATTTCCAATTTAACTGATGGGGATTGAGTCATTGGCATCTGTCCGGTATTTTGCAAGCTTTGCCTGAGGTAGTAGTAGTAGTATAGATTATAGAATGTGGATTTTAGAAGCTTAGTTCTGTTCCATAGAACACAAAACTAGTGTTTCTTTAGAGACTCAATATTTCCACCATGTTCACACCCTCCCTGTCCCCTTTCCCTTTTTCTGTTAATTTTGGGGTCAAGGCATCTTGAAAACTTTCCATAGTTTTCAAAGTGTGACAAGCAGAGAGGAATTCAGAAAAATCAGGCTGTATGGCTATATACATTAGCATTTAATTTAAGATGTTAGAGATATTCAAATTTTACAGACTCCTGTAGTATTTGACATTGTGACCCAATTCACAAATGCTCCATCCCATTTCAATTTAAAATTCACAGCACAGAAGTAAAATAAGCATTACATATCCTGCAGCTGTGTTTTAAAATACATGGTCTCTGTTGTAAGGTATAGTTTCTGAACTACTAAAAAGATCCTATTTTTGTGAAGAAAATTTAATCCTGAGCTCATCTTGCAGCACAGCTTTTTATTTTTATCAAGGGGCAGTAATATAATGAGGAGACAGCTACAAAATTAGCACTTTAAAAGTATAAAGATAAGACAAATGCTACTGCATTTAATCAAAAGCAGTGTATTTAATGCTTTCCTGATCTTCTGGTGAGTGCTATATTCTTACATAGTGCCGTGTCACAGGTACAAGAGTAATTTTGCAAACACTTCCATCTAGGAGCTGACAAGATTTTGTGGATATTCCATTAATAAAAGAACATTTGTTAAAGCTTCTTTAACTTCCTAGAAGCTATGTTTGTTTCATCTTGATTAAATTTATATAAAGCTTGCATTGTTCTCATTTAAAATAACTTTAATGTTATTCATTTCTACTAAAGGGACTTTGGATTTTCTAGTATCTGTTAAAGTTACAAAAACATAAACTTCCATTAACATTTTTAAAATATCACAGTTTTAGCTTTCTGTGTGGAGATATTATTTTTATACCATCTAAATTTTAAATAGAAAATACTGGGAACCAACAGTAGATTTCATGGAGGTTGAGTTGTGGTGTGCTAAGACGACAGAGTGTAGTTACATGCATGTGTGAAATTGCCCCACTTACCGGCCTTGAGATGCTGAGCAAAGTTCCTCCACTTGCTATGCCTTCTCCCAGGCTAATGCTGCAGCAGCAAAGTAGTCTAGTTAGTATGGTGGCATGGTGGTAGAAGTCTTTGCAAGGTCCAGAAGCAGTGCAATGCAGGGAGTAATTATGAGGCAGTAATTAAGAAGAGAAGAAAAGTAGGATAGCTTAATCTGGCTACTTTGTATATATCCACTAATCCCTACCTGGCTGTCTGCTTGAACTTTATGGTCCAATCATTTCAATAATTGTTGTACTATTAGGAAAGTACAGTATTGGACAAACCCAGTGAACCACTTTGTTCCTCAGTATCCACCTCAAAGGGAAATTGGTTTTGGGGCACAAATGCACATGTATGTGTACACACATACACACACACACACACACATACACACTGTTGACAGAAAAACTTCAGCTGCTCACGATGCTTTATAAAATTTTGTAGTATTTGCATATAATCTATGTATATCATCTCATATACTAAAATGTAAATGCTATGTAAATAGTTATTTTACTCTATTGTTGAGGAAATGATGACAAGACAAAAGTATACATGTTCAGTACTGATGAAAAAATCTTTTATCAAATATTTTTTAACAGTGGTTGGTTGACTCCATGGACATGGAACCCATTGATACAAAAGGTTGATTTGTACCTAGGCAGTAAAAATCAACTGCCCTTCCCTAGGTTCCCTATGGGAGGGGGCCACTAACAGTGGGCCATCTCCTCAGCTCACCAAGCACATGACACTCTAGCCTTGCCTATGTGCTGCTACTCTTCTCTCACTCACTCTACTTCACTGCATCTAACTTCTTCACTCTCATCAAGATTCATTCCTGAGACTCACAGAGAGGACCTGGCCTTTATTTCCCAGGGCAAAGGCGAGATAATAGTGGAGGTAGTGGACAGTGTGAGGAGACGCACAGGCATGAAATAGTCTGGAAACGGGCCAAGGGCAGAAGTTTGGAAAACACTACCAAGGAGCATGTTGGATGGGGGCACTCAGGAAGAAATCAGAAAATGAGGGATGGACAAGGTCAGAGGAGGAGGAGGAGGAGGAGGGATGTTACAGGAAAGTGCAACGAGGGAGATATGTTTGATACCACACAGGCATCAGGGTCTAAAATATGCCCACCATGTTTTTCAGTCAAGAGAACTGCAGTGAAAGCAATCTCAGGGGACTAAAAGAAGGTAGAAACTAGAACAGAGTAAAGTGTGACTGGAAGAAAAAGAGAGTAGAAACCACAGATACAAGCTATACAGACCTAATATCCATGGTCAGTGTATCATCTGAACTTTATCTTTGAGCCTGAGCTTGTCAGGAAACTTTATTG